TAGCTTTTTAGCCGTTTGCCATTTTTCTTTTTTTTTTTTATTTTCCCGATTCTTTTATTTCATCGCTTCTTTCATTACCGTGTATTCAACCGCTTTCTTCCTTTGTGTTACTATTTTTTCTTTGTTGTTATTTTTTATGATTTTTTTGCTGGGGTTTTTTTTATTACAATTTTTGTTTGTTTGTTGTTTTATTTCTCACTATGTTTCAGCTCAACAGAAAAAAAAAAATCACTTCAACGCAACGCAAAGAAGAAATTTGGGAAAAACAACATTTGTCGTCATCCGTCGTATTCGATCGCACGCTCGCTCGCTCACTGATAACTGAATTATATTCAGTTATTTTAATGGTCTCAAACTCCAATTAGCCATGCTTTGTTCTGTTGGTTTCACTTTGCTGGCAATCGTTGGTCTCTGTTTGTTTGGACGCGCTCTCTCATTTGCCGGTTTATCTTAAGGTGTTCCCCGATTCCATAGCGTTCCCCCTAAGCCAGACATAGTTGTTTCATATTTTGTTCTGCTGCTGTAAGTCGGCTTTCGTGGTTTGTGTCCATGCTTTAATGACGTCTTTGCTGCACATGTACTGGAATGCGGAAGAGTGCAACATAAGAAAGGCAAATAAGTGAGAGAGAGTTTATTTTTAATACTCTCTGTTTGTAAAGGTTGTGTATGGGTAGTGGGATTACCAGATTGGTGGAATTGTGTTCATGTGGAAATACGGTATGATCCTTTGCAAATAAGAATAAATGTGTTTGAATATTATTAAGGAACTAGAGTGAGATTTGAATTAAAAAATTGAGTACAAAATTGAGTAAGAAATTCTGATTACGAATTTTTGTAATTTTTTTGAAAATACCGAATATCAGCAGCGTTATATATTATATGTGAAGACGTGGACCTGCATACGAAATTCTTTCCATAGGTTGTAGTAACCATTAAAATCTCCCAATACGAAATTTGAAACGATTCCAGTGAATAAAGTTGCCAAAATCATCAAAATACCGAATATATGGAGCTACCGTTATATGTGGGCTATACGAAGAGGTGGACCTGCATACAAAAATGTTTGTCATAGGTTGTAGTAACCATTACGAACTTCAAATACGAAATTTGAAATAATTCCGGTAAATAATGTCGCTGAAATCATAAACATATCGAGTATTGGGAGGTACCGTCATATGGGGGCTATACGAAGACTTTAAGAGACTTTAACGCCTTGATAGGCTGTAGCACCCATTACGAACTTCAAATATGAAATTTGAAATAATTCCGGTAAATAATGTCGTTAAATTCTTGAAAATTCCGAATATCAGTATGCAGCGTTATATGGGGGCTATACGAAAACGTGGACCGACATGGCCCATTTATGAACTTAACCTGCTTACTGGTAAACTATGCATGTATGCAGGAGTTTATTAATATAGCCTCCATAGAATGTTGAGGGTATACAAATATTGTTTGAAGCAATAGATATACCGGACCGAGCAATATGAAGCGTAAAATCGGAAGGAGATGTATATCGAAGGTATATAAAAATTTGAACCGATCTCGATAAAATTTGGCAGAGGTATTTTCGAGCTGCATCTGATGTTCGGAATCAAATATCATTGCTGTATAGCGTATATTACGAATGTGAGGGACTTTAACACCAAATCGGATGAAACACAGATATGGGAGCTAAAGGGATATCTGAACCGATTTTCACCAAAATCTGAAGCGCTTGCATTTGGGATAAATTCCGTCGGAAGTGCCAAAATTCAGCCCATTCTGTTTTTGAGTTTTGCCATGTTATGATTCATGTGCTTGCTTCTCTTTCGAGACGAGCTTAATGATCTGGTTGGTACACTCCATTTGGTGCACAAGAAACCTGAAATCGGATAAAGATATATATGGGAGCTATATCCAAATGTGAACCGATCTTGACAACATTTTAAACATTTATTTCTGAGCTGTAACCGATATCTGGTAACAGAGATCATTGTTGTGGAGTGCATATTACACATGTATGTGAATGAAACCCCCAAATGGAAGCTACAGCTATACCTGAACCAATTTTGAAGTACATGTTTCTTTGACGAATTCAGTCGGAATTGCCAAGATTTGGTTCATTTGTGCTGATATTAGCCAATTGGTGCACGATAAACCCGAAATCAGATAAAGAGATATATGGAAGCAATATCCAAATCTGATGCGATCTCGATAAATTTTACAGAGGTATTTTTGAGCTCCACAAGTCATCTGGTTCCAAATATTACTCTTGTGGAATACATATTACGAATGTTCTATAGCTATATCTGATCTGATTTTCACCAAACTTCAAGTACCCGTTTATAGGACGAATTCAGTCGGTATTGCAAAATTTCAGTTCATATATCTACAGGGTGATACAAAAAAACTGCAACAAAGTCAAACTTCATAATTTAAACATTTTTTTTTAATTTTATTGAATGAAAGCAAAAAATGTCAGAAATAGCATCGAATATTAGAATAGGTTGGTGTCTGTAGTTGAGAGAATTAGGTTCCATGTTTTTCGAAATATTTTTAATTTATTTTTTTTATTGACTTCAACCCACTGTGCGACATAAACAAACAGTTATAACACCTCCGCATTCACTTGTATTTAATGCATTCACAGTTGTTGTTTCTTTTCTCGCGACACAGCCTAAGTTAAAACAGATGTTAAATATTTAATTAAACTTCAATAAATGTCGAACAAATTTGCTCACAATTTAACTTTATCAAATGCCAGTAGTCGTCGTTAATTGAGAGGAGAGAGTGAGAGAGAGAGAGAGAACATAACAAATAAGTATGTAATTTCGACGAGACGATAATGAAAAGGGCAAATATTGTGATTAGGGTTGCCATGCTTCAACTAAAATCAAATGAAGGGGGAAGCTTAAAACACATGACCTCCCAAAAGACCTTCGGGTTTTTTTTAACAGAAGACCTTCTGGTATTCTATGAGAAGGTCTTCTATGAGAAGACTTTCGGGTCTTCTATGAGAAGACTTTCGGGTCTTCTATGAGAAGACTTTCGGGTCTTCTATTAGAAGACCTTCGGGACATCTACGAGAAGACCTTCGGGTCATCTAAGAGAAGACCTTCGGGTCATCTACGAGAAGACCTTCGGGTCATCTATGAGAAGACCTTCGGGTCATCTATGAGAAGACCTTCGGGTCATCTATGAGAAGACCTTCGGGTCATCTATGAGAAGACCTTCGGGTCATCTATGAGAAGACCTTCGGGTCATCTATGAGAAGACCTTCGGGTCATCTATGAGAAGACCTTCGGGTCATCTATGAGAAGACCTTCGGGTCATCTATGAGAAGACCTTTGGGTCTTCTATGAGAAGACCTTCGGGCCTTCTATGAGAAGACCTTCGGATCTTCTATGAGAAGACCTTCGGGTCTTCTTTGAGAAGACCTTCGGGTCTTCTTTGAGAAGACCTGCGGGTCTTCTATGAGAAGACCATCTGGTTTTCATTGAGAAGAAATTCTGGTCTTCTATGAGAAGACCTTCTGGTCTTCTATGAGAAGATCTTCTGGTTTTCTATGAGATCTTCTGGTCTTCTATGAGAAGATCTTGTGGGCTTCTATGAGAAGATCTTCTGGGCTTCTATGAGAAGATCTTCTGGTCTTCTATGAGAAGATCTTCTGGTCTTCTATGAGAAGATCTTCTGGTCTTCTATGAGAAGATCTTCTGGTCTTCTATGAAAAGATCTTCTGGTCTTCTATGAGAAGATCTTCTGGGCTTCTATGAGAAGATCTTCTGGTCTTCTATGAGAAGACCTTCTGGTCTTCTATGAGAAGACCTTCTGGTATTCTATGAGAAGACCGTCTGGTCTTCTATGAATAGACCTTCTTGGTCTTCTATGAGAAGACCTTCGGGTCTTCTACGAGAAGACCTTCGGGTCTTCTACGAGAAGACCTTCGGGTGTTCTACGAGAAGACCTTCGCGTCTTCTTTGAGAAGACCTTCTGGACTTCTAATGAGAAGACCTTCCGGTCTTCTATGAGAAGACCTTCTGGTCTTCTATGAGAAGATCTTCAGCTCTTCTAATGAGAAGACCTTTTGGTCTTCTATGAGAAGACCTTCTTGGTCTTCTATGAGAAGACCTTCTGGTCTTCTATGAGAAGACCTTCGGGTCTTCTATGAGGAGACTTTCTGGTCTTCTATGAGAAGACCTTCGGGTCTTCTAATGAGAAGACCTCCGGCTCTTTTATGAGAAGACCTTCAGCTCTTTTATGAGCAGACCTTATGCTCTTCTGTTCTTCTGGGAGAAGACCTTCTGCTCTTCTATGAGAAGACCTTCTGCTCTTCTATGAGAGGACCTTCAGATCTTCTATGAGAGGACCTACAGCTCTTCTATGAGAAGACCTTTAGGTCATCTATGAGAGGATCTTCAGCTATTCTATGAGTCTTTGGTCTTCTTTCAGACGATTTTTAGACCATTTCTCCACAAAATCTCAAATTATATTTAACCATTTACGAAAATAATAGACAAAATAAATAGAGTTAATTAAGATAGCAACTATGAATGGCATCTTCATTCACACACACACATACACACATATTTTAATTTATATACCACAAAACAAACTTTGAACTTGTTAGCGGTACCCAAAACATAGTTTACATTCATAAATGTGTTAATAATGGACACAAGTCTTTTGAGCGGACCCTCTCAGACCGCACAGCATAATAAAAATGAAATGAGAAAAAAAAAACTGTTCATAGCCTTTGCGGAAAGCAGTCAGATGTGAAACCCTGCGGTAAGTGTTAAAATACATTGTACTTTTTTTATGGTTGGCTGAATATACAGCCCGAAAAGAAGCAGAGGAGGAATAAGAAGGGCAGCAGCAGCAACCAAAGAGGAAACAGATAAATCTACAAAAATAATTATCTTAAGTAAATAAAAATAAAAAACGGACACATACACAAACATGTGCACACATGTATACATACATTGTTGTTTTATGTAAAAAAGACGCAACAAAATACTCACTTATAAACTGCTGACGATATTCATCGTAACCCAAGATAATGGGAGCAGGCTCCGGCGGTGGTGATGGATACTCCTCATAAAAGTACGTTGATGGGGCACTGGTGCTATAGCCCTCATTGTTGTTGTCATAGTAGTAATCCACAATATCGTAATCATAGTCATACGGTTGGTACATTATTTCGTTTCCACGCTGAGAGTAGTGCCGGCTCAGAGTAACGTAAGGCTATGAAGTGTTGGAGATTTATTTAATTTTTTTTTTGGTGTAGCCCTTATCTCTTAGAGATAAGATATTTGGAGGAGATTGTTAAACAAATCTGTTGCTCTTTTTTGGGAAATATTTTTCTCGTTAATCATTAAATTTAATTTCGTAATATATGTATTTTTTATTTAAATTTTTTTTCTAATTAAAATAATTTTAAAAATTTTATGCAGGATTTTTGTTTTTAATTTTTTTACGATTTTTTTTGGAGATATATGTCTAGTAATCAATAAATTTGTAATGATGTATTTTTTGTAGATAAGAAGGGTTTGGTGAGATATTGTCTTGCTGCCGCTGCTTTATTTTTGGAAATGCTTTCGATTTATTAATCAATAAATTTTTGTATGATTTTATTTTTCTTTTTTAATTTTATGATTTTAAGTCGTTCAATTTATTATATAATTTTATTTTCTATTTTTATTTTTTTTATTTTTTTTTTTATTTTTTAATTTTTTTTTGATTTTTTTTTAAATATTTTTTATTATTTTTTTTCTCAAATAATTTATTTGACTTTCTTCGAAATATTTTGCATTAATCAATAAATTTGTATGTAATTTTCTTTTTTCTTTAATTTTCTCATTTACACATCACTTGTAAACATTTACACGACGAACCACGATGTTATTTAAGAGGCACTCATCTATGAAAATAATTAAAGCATAATTTAAGGCTGTTTATTTTGGTAATGGAAAAATATGTTTACACATTCTACGGATATCCTTGATTGCGGGTTTATGAGGCAGTGTTTGTTTTGTAAGTTGGTGCGTTTTTTTAAAAGGTTTTCCAAAGACAAACAATTTTTAAAGAAAGAATTTTTAAAATACCAGCAGATTTTAAGGCTTGAATTTTATATTTTAGGAAAACATTGGTTATTTTAATTATACCCTCAGCCTTATGGCCAGAGAGGGTATACAGGGTTGCCCATATTCGACGGACCCATCTGGCAACGCCATAACTTTTGACAGAAATGTCACATCGCTTAATGACATACCGCGTTTGAAGCGTCAGTCCAAGCAGATTTTTACCATGAACCAGTACACTCCACGCGAGCGCTCTGAAATAGTTGAAATTTACGAGAAGTCGATTGTGAAAACTCAACGTGCTTTTAAAGCATTAAAAAATGTGAGAAGTGCGCCTTCTAAGAACACCATTAAGCGTTTATACGAAAAATTTGCGACTGGTAAGACTTTTTCTAATTCGAAGAGCCCAAATAAAAATCGACCAAGGCGATCGGCCAAGAATATCGCTGCCGTACGAGCCAGTGTTGAGAGGTCCCCAAGAACATCCCAAAAACGCCGTTCTCAGCAGTTGGGCATGGCTCGGTCCACTTTACAACGGATTATTCGCATTGATTTGCATTTGTTCCCGTACAAAATTCAATTGACGCAAAGAATGTTGCCTGCGGACAAGCCTCGTCGATTGGAATGGGCCCAAAGGGCCCAAAGGTCCGTCGAATATGGGCAACCCTGTATATCAATTGATACGGCCAAAACGTGTCTTATCGAAATAAAGTTTTTACACCCTAGATCTCTCCGGACATTTGAAGTCGATTTAGCGATGTCCATCTCTCTGTCTGGCTGGTGGGTACGATAACTCTCAAAAACTACAGTAGATTTGGTCTAAACTTGGTATATCCTAATATTATTATCAAACTTAGATCGTGTTCGGAGATGGCAATATCGGTCCACTCCTTCTGGTACCTCCACTACAAAAAGGTGAAGTGTTCAAAAAAAAAAAAACACTTAAAGTTCGGCCGGGCTGATCTCTGAATGCCCTCCACCATATGGAACGATAAAAAACCTGTAAGTTCGGCCGGGCCGATCTTTGAATACCCTCTACAATTTGGAAAGATTTTGGCAATTTTCAAAAAATAAAATTCTTTAAAAATTCTGTTTAAATCCTAAAAATACCGAATGTAGCCTTCATATAAGGGTCTATACGACGACGTGGATCTACTACATAGGCAACTTTCGTCATAAACCATTAAAATACTCAAATGCGAAACTTGAATAAAAAATCCGTGAATAATGTAGCTAAAATCATCAAAATACCGAATATCGGGAGATACCGTTATATGGGGGCTATATGAATGCGTGGATCTGCACAAACAATTTTCTGTCATAGGCTGTAGTATTCATTACGAACTTCAAATACCAAATTTGAAACAATTCCGGTAAATAATGACGCTTATATAACCAAAATACCGAATTTCGGGAGGAACTATTATATGAGTGATATACGAATTCGCTGACCTGCACAGACAATTTTCTGTCATAGGCTGTAGTATATATTGCGAACCTCAAACAGCAAATCTGAATCAATTCCGATGAAACATGTCGCTAACATCATCCAAATACCGAATATTGAGGGATACCGTTATACGATGACGTTGACCTGCACAAACAATTTTCTGTCATAGGCTGTAGTATCCATTACGAACTTTAAATACCAAATTTGAAACAATTCCGGTGAGTAATGTCGATTAGATCACCAAAAATACCGAAAAAAGGGAGGTACCATTATATGGGGGCTATACCAAAACGTAGACCTACATGACATGACCATTTTCGATACCAAAAGTCCTGCAGTCATAATACACATTTGAGTAAAATTTTATCAACCTACTTCATTTCGTTTTCGATACCAAAAGTCCTGCAGTCATAATACACATTTGAGTAAAATTTTATCAACCTACTTCATTTCGTTTGGAAGCTAGAGTGATTTCTACAGACGGACAGACATAGCTAAGTCGACATAGCCTTTTATGCTGATCAAGAATATATATTCTTTGTGGGGTCTAAAATGTATATTTCGAGGTGTTACAAACTTAATATACCCTCCATACTATGGTGGAAGGTATAAAAACGAGTTGAAAAGTATCAGTCGGTTTAGGCGACAGATGCATGTCCTCAGCCGATGTTCGATTATTTAAATATATTGTGACTTGTGTTGTGATTATTCAAATTGTTCACCCTCTATGGGATAGGTTCCGCAGGAATGGTTTAATGTTGTCCATTTCGTATCGGACCTAAATAATTATTATACGTATCGACTACTTCTATAACTTTTTATAAGATATGTGAAAATTTTTTGAAATTGTTAAACTGCGCGTGAGGTAGAAGCCCCCTCATGTCCAAATCCATTTTGGAAATTATGTCACGGAGCACTGCCCATATATTACCCTTAGCATTTTGACCAGGGACATTTTTCCACTATTTATGCACTCTGTCATGCTGTTAGTTTTTATGGTCCATTTTACGGCTAAATATAATCCAATGGTCATCCAAAATGCTAGAAATCTTCACTGTGCTTAACTATCTCCTCGGCGTGTCGATTGGCTTCAATTGTGTGGTCATGATTTCTTTTTTTGTTTTTGGTTCATTTGAACCCATAAATATTTTGCGATCATCTCCAAAAGCAATTTGGCTATATTCGTCAACGACATCAGCATATCGGATATCGCCTGTAAGTAATGTTAGTATTTTTTACACAAAAGTAGTGGTCCATTCAACCAATTCTAACTTCACTGGCCAATTCTAACTTCATTCAGAATTTTGTGTCCTTTGGTTTCTATGTGTGACCTTTATAACGGCTGCAAAATCAGGAACATTTGGAGTTGCTGGTCCATTTCAACCCCTAAATATATTGCGGAAATCTTTGAAAACAATGGGCTTAGCCCTTCTGAGCCTAAGCCTACCTTTGTCAAAAATTTCGTGAGGATCAAATGATAATTGCACTCTGTATATAAATAATAACCCCAACCTGTGTTATAAAGTGCAAAAAAATTACAAAATATACACTTTAATATTATAAGTAAAATTGAAAAAATCGCATGCGATAAAAAATATGAAAAAATAAAAAAATGTCACAAAATACTACAAAATCTATATTAACATCATTATTGACATCTTTTTATGCGATTTTTTTAGATTTTATACTTCTATGTCAAAATGGCATCCTAAATTTACAAAATTTGTCAAAATCGCTCCAGCCATTCTGGAGATATAAGCATTCTAGCTAACATCCCTTTCCCTTGTACATATACATTGTATATATTTCGCTATAATTTTACTATAGGCATCTACGTAACGGTCAGAATTGACCTGTTTGTCTATTTTTATTTCACCGGCATTAAAAATATTCGCGGTTTAATGGAAAATTTGACTTTTATTTAACACAAATGTTATGGTCTACTAAACCACTAAATATTACCCGATGACCATCAAAATTGGAAGGCTTCTGCCCAGCCCAAAGCTCTAGTCCCATGCTAACTTCCGCTTCGATTGGTCTATAACTGCGACCTGTAGAGCAACTGCAAAATCAGAAAATTTTTCAGTTTTTGGTCCATTTCAACCATTAAATATTATGCGCTCATCTCCAAAAGAAATAGGGTTCTATTCTGACCTTAACCCCACCTACATTTTAAATTTCGTGAAGATCGGGCCATAATTGCGACCTGTAGAGTGATTACAAATTAACATGGACAGAAGGACAGACGGACGGACGGACGGACGGACATACATAGCTAGATCGACTCAGCTCGGCGAGATAGGAAGATCCATATATACTTTCCTATGTGGGAAATCAATATTTCGTGGTGTTACATAATTTGTGGCCCAATCAAACTTATAATACCCCCAACACAAAGTGTTGTAGGGTATAAAAACTGCAACCAACTTTAGACTGCTGTCATTTCGAAGCCACTCGTCCTACAGCTGTTAAAGTTATTCCAGTGACAGCTCATTATATTGTTTACAAGCGTGCAAAAGCATTTTGGTGAGAATTTTCCAGAAAAAAAGTTATTCGTGATAGAATTCAAACGTGATAGTGTGATTTCTTTTTATTTGGCTGGAAAACCACAAATGGCTATCGTTAGAGTACTCCAGCATTTAAATGTGAATAAATCTTTTATGTCTTGTACCATCGCTCGTTACAGTGATACTGGTAGCGTAGCCCGACGTCAAGAAAGTGGACGGAAGAAAACAGCAACATCAGCAGAAATAGTTCAAAAGAAGCTACT